CCATTTTGATTTTAGTTTAGTGCATGGTGAGAGATACAGGTCTAGTTTTAATCTTTGGCAAGTTGAAGCCCAATTTTTCCAGCACCATTTATTAAAGACCAGCACCCATTCTTGCTAAAAGCCTAAAGAAAATAGGTACAGAAGGACTTTACTTCAATCTGATGAAAGCCATTTAAAACAAACCAATGGCCAACATCATATTAAATTGGGAAAAACTGTAAACTTTCCTTCTAAAATCAAAAACAAGATAAGGATGTTCACTATCACAATTCCCATTCAATATGGAATTCAAAACATTAGCCGGAGCAATCAGAAAAGAGAAAGAGATAATAGGGATAAATATTTTGATATTATCTTGTTTATAGTTAAAATTCTCTAAAACACAGTATTCTCTTATTCTTGGTTTTGTTTTTCATAGTTTTTAGTTACTCATTTTTAAGCCTAGTTTGAAAATACTAAGTGGAAAATTCCAGAAATAAACAGTTCATAAGTTTTAAATTATATGCCATTTGAGTAGTATGATGAAGTCTTGCCCCATCCTGCTTTATGTGGCCCAGAAAATGAACCATATCTTTGTTCAGATATCTATACTCCATACACCATCTGTCCATGAGTCCATTAGTAGTTGTCTTGGTTATCAGTTGGGCTGTCATGGTGTCTCAGTGGTTGTGTTCAAGCAACCCTTATTTTAGTTAATAATGTCTCCAAAACAATAGTAGTGGTGCTGGCAATTTGGATATGCCCAAGAGAAACTGCAAAGTGCTTACTTTATGTGGAAAGATAAAAATTTTCAACTTAGTAAGGAAAGAAAAAAATTGCACGCTGAGGTTGCTGTGATCTATTGTAAGAACAAATCCTCCATCTGTAAAATTGTGAAGCTTGTGCACCGCAAACTGCAACAGCTATAGTTGTCCTATTTCATTATTAGTTAGTTTTTGTTAATCTCTTACTGTAACTAATTTATAGATTAAACTTTATCATAGATAGAGTCATATAGAAATAGGGTTCAGTGCTATCTGCTATTTCCTGGATCCACTGGAAGTCTTGGAACATAAGGCTACTTATGTAAAGAGAAGAGTACTATACTTTGTAGTTTCAAGAAATTGCCTGGAGAAAGCAAAGGCCTTATAGTAACATGTTTAACCTTACATTAAATATTTAATTCATTATTATTAA